CGCGAACTCCTGACCTCATGATCCACCTGCCTCGGCCTCCCAGAGTGCTGGGATTACAAGCATGAGCCACCGCGCCCGGCCAATTTTTGTATTTTTAGTAGCGACAGGGTTTCACCATGTTGGCCAGGCTGGTCTCAAACTCCTGACCTCACGTGATCTACCACCTCAGCCTCCCAAAGTGCTGGGATTACAGGCATGAACCACCGTGCCCAGCTTCTATGCACTTTATACACATTATCTCTTAATTATCATAACACTCCTCTGAGGAAGTTAATATTAACACCCTAGTTTTATAAATTGGGCTTAAGGAAATTGTACAATTTGCCCAGCTTGTTGTAAGTAAACCTATAAATGTGATAAAATTTCATAAAACTACACACATACACAAATGAGTGCATACAGAAATTGATGCAATCTGATTAAGGCTTATAGTCTATTTAATAATATAGTACCTATGTCATTTTTCTGGTTTTGATATTGTACTACTGTCATGAAAGAGGTTACCACCAGAGGAAGCTGGATGAAAGCTGGAGATTTGCAATTTCTTGTGAATCTATAATTAGACTCACATTAATAAATATTTTATTTTATTATTATTATTATTTTTTTTCTTTTTTTTGAGACGGAGTCTCGCTCTGTCGCCCAGGCTGGAGTGCAGTGGCGCGATCTCGGCTCACTGCAAGCTCCGCCTCCCGGGTTCCCGCCATTCTCCTGGCTCAGCCTCCCGAGTAGCTGGGACTACAGGCGCCCACAACCGCGCCCGGCTAATTTTTTGTATTTTTAGTAGAGACGGGGTTTCACTGTGGTCTCGATCTCCTGACCTTGTGATCCGCCCGCCTCAGCCTCCCAAAGTGCTGGGATTACAGGCGTGAGCCACCACGCCCGGCCTTAAATATTTTAATTTATATTAATTTATATATTATTTTTAAATGAGTTAAACAATAAGTTTGTTTTTGTCTTGTTTTGTTTTGAGACAGGGTCTCACTCTGTTGCCCAGGCTGGAGTACAGTGGCACCATCTGGGCTCACTGCAGCTGCAACCTCTCTCGGGCTTAAGCGATCCTCCCACCACAACCTCCCGAGTAGCTATTAGCACATGCGTGTGCAACCATGCCCAGCTAGTTTTCTGTATTTTTTGTAGAGATGGGGTTTTGCCATGTTGCTCAGGGTGGTTTAGACCTTCTGAGCTCAGGTGATCGGCCTACATCAGCCTCCCAAAGTGCTGGGATTACAGGTGTGAGCCACCGTGGCCAGCCAATAATATTTTTTTGTTTTGTTTTTTTTAAAGTGTTGAAAACCTTGTAAGGGGCTGGACATGGAGGCTCATGCCTGTAATCCTAGCACTATGGGAAGCCATTGCTTAAACCCAGGAGTTGGAGACCAGCCTGGGCAACATATGAGCCCCTCCCTCTACAAAATATTTAAGTTAGCCAGACTTGGTGGCACGTGCCTGTAGTCCCAGCTACTTAGGAGGCTGAGGCAGGAGTGTCACTTGAGCCCAGGAGTTTGAGGTTGCAGTGAGCTATCATTGCTACTGAATGCCAGTCTGGATGGCAGAGTAAGACCCTGTGTCAAAAAAAGAAAGGAAGAAAGAAAGAAAATTTAGGTTCAGCAAAGATAAACCTCTTCTCCGCTTGCCGAAAGTGAGCAAGCCAAGCATCCTATTCCCAAGACCACTTCCTCTCCCTTAAGATACAGTGTACTGCATGAAAGTATGCTTTGAACCTTGGAAATAATCTACCCCAACTGTCTCCACTTACATGTAAGAAAATGGAGCCTTGGAGAAGGGAAGGGTCTTACTCAAAGACATCCGATAAGTCTGTGACTAAGCCAGGGTGAGAACCAGTCTTTGAACTCCTAGGCCAGGGTTTTTTACAGCGGCCACACACAGGGCTGCTCACCCACATAGCACTGCTCATCCACACAGCACACCTTCCCTGGGCCCTGTCTGGGAGACCACTGGTGCCCACGGGCCAACCCTCACCAGCCTACCCAGCTCAGGGCACTCAGGTCCACAGGTGGAAGTGAGACCTGGAGAGGGTGGAGGCATGGTGGCCCACTACTCCAGGCAGCACTGGGAGCCAGGGTAGTTGGGGCCACAGAAAGGGCAAGGATAGACACTCTGAACTTTGGCAGGAGTTGGGTGGGAAGGGAACATGTGTGTATGTGCATGTGGGGGAGGTACTCACGCCAAATCCTTGCTCCCATCCCCCTCAGGCTCCTTTGAGTCACTTGTCCTTAATGTCGGGCACATTCTTGAAGGGAGTGGTCACAGGGGTTCAAGGCCCATTCAGGCCCTAGGCCAGTTTCTATTCCTCCTGGCAGTGAAACCACCTTCTCATTCAGACTCAGCACCCCTCCCCAACTGGAAATATAGTGACATACTCTTCTAATTCCTGCCCTGGGACCTCCTTGGACCAGATGTGAGGCTCTGGGGAGGGCTGGCCTGGGTCCCCTTTCTCAGGGGATGGATTCTTGGTATTCAATATGTGGGGTGTGGCTGACCTACATTCAGATGAGCCTGATTGGCCCTCCCTTCCCCATCCTGTTGTGCTTCCCCAACCCCCCATCCCTCCGGGCCATTCCGCGGTGGGCCAGGGCAAGGATGAGGATATAGGATCCCTCCCTGCCATCTCGGCATCTCTATCTCCGCGCCCCGGCAGGTCCGCAGCCACTGAACCTAAGGAAGCGGCCCTAGCAATCTGGTCTGTGGGGAGCAGCGCCCTCGTGTGGCCTCCAGGAGAAGCGCGGCTCTTTTCTCAGCTCCGCCCTTTGTATGCTCTCTCATTGAATAAATATTTATTGAGAGCCACTACGTGCCAGGCGCCGCTCTAGGCTCCGCAGCCAAGACAGATACCTGCTCCACGGACTGTGCATTTCAGCGTGCGTGTGCGTGGACAGTCAGGCAATAAATGATAAACAGATACATAAATGAGGCAGTTACTAGTAGTGGTAACTGCTAGGAGCAAAATAAAACAGAAATGTGATGGAGAGTGACCCAAGAGAGAAACTTAGGATAGGATGGAAAAGGAAGGTTTCCGCGAGTAGCTAACGTCTGAGATGAGACCTAGGTCACAGACTGTCATGTAAGGATATGGGGGAAAGGCTTTCCTTACAGAGAAAATAGATCCTGCAAAGACCCTCAGGCAGGAACAGGTTTTGCAGAACAGACTAAGGCCAATGTGGTTAGAAAGGAGTGAGCGAGGGGAGGCTGGTGTGAGATGCCGTCAGAGAGGTGGGCTGGGGCCAGGGTGTGAATCTTGCAGGCCAATGACAAGGAGCTGCTGCTGCTGCTGCCGCTGCTGCCGCTGCTGCCGCTGCTGCTGCTCCTGCTCCTCCTCCTCCTCCTTCTTCTTCCTCCTCCTCTTCCTCTTCTTCTTCTTCCCCTTCTTCTTCTTCTTCCCCTTCCCCCCTCCCCCCCTCCTCTTCCTCTTCTTCTTCCTCTTCTTCTTCTTCGAGTAATGGGAATGTGTTGGGTGAGTACTGAACCGAAGAGTAATGTGGCTCAACTGCCTTTTGAAAGGACATGTATGGTGTGGAGGATGGACTTTGGGCAAGGGAGGAAGAGTGGAAGCAGGGGGGTTATTGCAAGAGATTAGAAAGCTACTGAAATAATTCAGGTGAGAAGTGATGGTTGTTTGGATCAGGGTAGCAGTGCTGGAGGTGGGGAGATGTGGTTGGATTATGGGTATATTTTGAAGATAGAGTCAACAGGATTTGCTAATAATGGACCACATTTTCCTTTGCTCATTTAACTCCGGGAACTCCTTCACTCACACCCCCTAGTGGGCTCCTCTCTATCCTCACTGGAAGGCTGAGTTACAAGGGCAGATCCCAGGGACACAGCTAAATTGGGGAATTTCAAGGTGTTGTTGGACAAAAGAATTTAAGACTCATTAGCTGGGCAGCCAGGCACAGTGGCTTACACTTGTAATCCCAGCACTTTGGGAGGCCAAGGCGGGTGCATCACCTGAGGTCAGGAGTTTTTGAGACCAGCCTGGCCAACATGGTGAAACCCTGTCTCTACTAAAAATATAAAAATCAGCCAGGTGTGGTTGCACATGTCTGTAATCCCGGCTACTTGGGAAGCTGAGGCAGGAGAATCACTTGAACCCGAGAGGTGAAGGTTGCAGTGAGTTGAGATCACACCACTGCACTCCAGGCCAGGCGACATAGGGAGACTCCATCTCAGAAATAAAATAAAATAAAATAAAATAAAAGACTTATTAGCTGGGTGTGGTGGCGTGCACCTGTAGCCCCAACTACCTTGGAGGCTGAGGTGGGAGGATCACTTGAGCCTAGGAGGTCAAAGGTGCAGTGAGCTGTGATTGTGCCACTACACTCCAGACTGGGTAAGAGAGAGAGACCCTGTCTCAAAAAAAAAAAAAAAAAAAAAAAAAAAGAAAGAAAGAAAGAAAGAAAAGAAAAAAGAATTTAAGACTCAGGCACTAGGTCTTCCATTATTATCCCATTTAATGGGCAGGGCCTCTGCCTGCTATCTCCTTTACCCTGTCTGGCTTCCATAGACTCAATTATTTATTAGGTCCCTGTTTGTCCAAATGGGTGTATCTGTGGCCCCAGGGGTGTGTTGGTGACACCCAAAACAGTCCTGGGTGTTTGGTGTTTATATTTGATACAAGTGAGGCAGCAAAATCTGGAGGTACCAAGTCCTCAGGCCCAGGCCAATCATTTACTCCTGTTTCTTTACACAAAACACAGTGGGATCAGACCTGATAACACAGGAAATGCACATACACATTTTGGCCCCAGGTTGGGCATTTCTGGAGAGCCTGGGAAAGGCCAGGCTGGTCTTACAAATACTCTTATGCCAGCAGAGGGTGGGGGAAGCAAGTAGGAGAGTAGGTGACCGGTAGGCTCTGGAGTCAGCAGGCCTTGTTCTGTTTGTGTTGTGCTGCAGTGGGGGATGCATTATAAATGCAACCAGTCAGAGGGCCCCTGGCTTCAGAACCTCAGACGGTACTGGTTCCGAGACTCTGTGCAAGCCTCATGGAAATGAAGCTGCCAGGCCAGGAGGAGTGTGAAGCCTCCAGTACTCCTAGAAATATTCCTTCAGGGGAGCTGGACAGCAACCCTGGCCCTGGCACCGGCCCCAGCCCTGATGGCCCCTCAGACACAGAGAGCAAGGAACTGGGAGTACCCAAAGACCCTCTGCTCTTCATTCAGCTGAATGAGCTGCTGGGCTGGCCCCAGGCACTGGAGTGGAGAGAGACAGGCAGGTAAGTTGGATGCAGGCCAGTTCTGTGGGATCCTTCCCCTTCTCCAGCTGGAGCCTCCTATATGCCCCCCAGTGCTTCTTGTGGGGCTGCCCCAAATTAGGATTTTCCCAGCTGTGTTCCATTATTTCAGGGTCTTACCTTCCATGATGCCCAGCCTCTTCTGCAGTCTAGTTTTGAGATCCCCAAGACCCAAGATGAAGGGTGACTGCCAGGGGTGGGGGGAACACTTCATACCACTGGGCCCAGGATACCCTCATTGCCTTGCCTTCCCTAGCTCCTCTGCATCTCTGCTCCTGGACATGGGAGAAATGCCCCTAATAACACTGTCTACCTCTACCCACCTTCATCACAGGTGGGTACTGTTTGAGGAGAAGTTGGAGGTGGCTGCAGGCCGGTGGAGTGCCCCTCATGTGCCCACCCTGGCACTGCCCAGCCTCCAGAAGCTCCGCAGCCTGCTGGCCGAGGGCCTTGTACTGCTGGACTGCCCAGCTCAGAGCCTCCTGGAGCTTGTGGGTAGGCTGGGAGCCTTTGTAGGAAGGGCCTGGGTAGCCATGCCTTTTCCCCAGGATTTCCCCTCCAAAGTCTTGGAATCTTCCAGAGCCCACCTCTACCCCTCCTAGGATTGCCTACCCTTGTCACAGGTGGACATGGAAAAGCAGGGTGGAGGAGCAAGTTCATTGGCCCTGGCATTCTGAGACTCCCAGAAGGGAAACGGGTCTGGGCAGAGGGAGAAGGGGAAGAGTGTGGGGCAGGGAACTCTCAGGAAGGAGATAACCCCCAATCCATTCTCCAGAGCAGGTGACCAGGGTGGAGTCGCTGAGCCCAGAGCTGAGAGGGCAGCTGCAGGCCTTGCTGCTGCAGAGACCCCAGCATTACAACCAGACCACAGGCACCAGGCCCTGCTGGGGTGAGAGCCCCTCCCTGGGCCCAGGACCAAGACCCTGGTGTGGCAGGGTCTCAGATCTCCCCTGCACCTTCCAGGGCTAGAAGTAGCCCAGGCTTAGTTCAGGCTCCAACCCAGGACTCATGATCAAGAGGAAACTTGTGGTAATGTTGTGGGGAGAAGATTCAGGGGGCTAGAATCATAAGAGAGCTCTGTGAAGAGATGTACTTGGCAGGCACTATGCCAAGAGCTTTACACGCAGTATTTCATTTGATCTTCACAACCACCCTGTAAATAGTACCACAATTATCCCCATTTTAGTGATGAAAAAACTGAGGCTCAGAGTGGAGAAGGGTGTACTCTAATTCTTACAGCTTGTCAGTGGCAAAAGTAATTAGGGAATCCTGGTGGATCCACCCCAAAGCCTGTGGTCTTAATCACTGCATAATCCTATTTTGTAGGCTCTACTCATCCAAGAAAGGCTTCTGACAATGAGGAAGCCCCTCTGAGGGAACAGGTTTGTGGCCCTTCCTTGGGGTCCCTTTCCAGTGGCTGGGAGAGGGGTTAGAAATTAACAAAAGTCTACTCTCCACTGGATTTCTCATCAGTTGAGATCTTATCCTCCCCAAATAACCTTTCATACTCTGTGTCTCCTTGAACCCCCATCCAGTATCAGAACCCCCTGAGACAGAAGCTGCCTCCAGGAGCCGAGGCAGGGACTGTGCTGGCAGGGGAGCTGGGCTTCCTGGCACAGCCACTGGGAGCCTTTGTTCGACTGCGGGATCCTGTGGTACTGGGGTCCCTTACTGAGGTGTCCCTCCCAAGCAGGTAAGGCTACTTGGGAGTGAGTGGGAGTCAGGGATCCCAGAGCCCAGAAGTGTCTTTACTGGGGAGGGGAAGGAGGGTCTCAGTCTGATTCCCTAAGGCTGTGGGGAGGATGGTGCTTAGGGGTCTGGGGAGAGAGTAGTGGTCAGAACTGCATGGTAGGTGTGCAAATGAGTGTGTTTATGGGAGCTGATAGGTCAGAGCTGAGCATCAGAGGCCAGGGCTGCCCTGTGGGAAAGCAGCCTGTGAATCTCTGGGGCCTGGTTCCTTCCTCAGGTTTTTCTGCCTTCTCCTGGGCCCCCCTATGCTGGGAAAGGGCTACCATGAGATGGGACGGGCAGCAGCTGTCCTCCTCAGTGACCCGGTGAGCTAAACAGGGGTGTGTGTGTGTGTGTGTGCGCGCGCGCGCACACGCACTCACGCGCACATGCCTGTGTGTATGTGCACACATGCATGCATGCATGGGTTTGTGTGAGTGTGTGGACTCTGTATGTGTGCCTAAGTACAGCGATGAGGCAGAGTGAGCAATGAGACTGAAGTTTCCTTGTCTCCTAGTGCAGCCCATTACTGGCTGAGTGCTGGCACACTATAGGCACTCAATAGATACCCACTGAATGAATGAATTAATGCATGCATAAAGGAATGTGTGAATGACTTGTCTGCCTCTGTGACTTGTGTCTAGTTTTGACACTATGAAAATGCATGTAAGAGACCAGATTTGCACTTACCACCCATTCTGTGTCCCCATCCTCAGCAATTCCAGTGGTCAGTTCGTCGGGCCAGCAACCTTCATGACCTTCTGGCAGCCCTGGATGCGTTCCTAGAGGAGGTGACAGTGCTTCCCCCGGGTCGGTGGGACCCAACAGCCCGGATTCCCCCGCCCAAGTGTCTGCCATCTCAGCACAAAAGGTACCTGGGAGCCATCATCCCATACAGATTCCTGCCCATAAGCCCTGGGTCTGATTCCATTGTTGAGGGGGGGTGACGTCCCAGGAAGGAGATAGGGACCTATCTTTGGATTTGGAGTCAGGCAGACCTAACTCGGAGTTCTGCTGGACTTCTCTCGCTAAGAGACCTGAACAAAACCTTCCCTGCTGAGCCTGGCTTTCTACAGGTCGCAATATGACCTGGACCTTCTTGAGGCCCCTGTGTCGCCATGGTCCCCTCGCCAGCAGAGACAAGAGCAGCCGCCAGGGGGCAGGGCGCCACCAGCTCTGGGCCGAGTCCGGACCGGTTAGAGATCCTTAGCCAACCTCGGGTTCCCCTCCTCCTCAGGCTTCCCTCGCAACAGCGGGAGATCAGAGGTCCCTCCGGCCCGCGCCTGACCTCGGCTGAGGACAGGCCCCGCCATGGGCCGCACGCACCCAGCCCGGAGTTGCAGCGGACTGGCAGGTGAGGCGAGCTGGGAGGAAGCAAGGGTAGGTGACCTGGGGAGGGGAGGAGTCACAGGGAAACTGAGGTGTGTGCTCACTGTGGGAGGGGCTCACCCGGCCACAGGGAAGGTAGCGGGGATGTGGGTGTGGAGTGTGAAAACCTGGATTACTGACGACCCTCGGGCGGGAGGCTGTTTGGGGGCCTTATCCAGGATGTGCGCAGGAAGGCCCCATGGTACCCCAGCGATTTCTTGGACGCCCTGCATCTCCAATGCTTCTCGGCGGTACTCTACATTTACCTGGCCACTGTCACTAATGCCATCACTTTCGGGGGTCTGCTGGGAGATGCCACTGATGGTGCCCAGGTGGGTAGGGCCCCTGGGGGCAGGCACAAGCCTTGGTGTCTCCTAGTCCTTCCCTTCCCCTGGGACTATGGGTAAGTTAAGGAGGCTCTCCCAAAGCTTGGGCTCCTGTCGTGAGGACTTCAGGGTCCTGTGCTGAGCCCCTGTTGGCTTTCAGGGAGTGCTGGAAAGTTTCCTGGGCACAGCAGTGGCAGGAGCTGCCTTCTGCCTGATGGCAGGCCAGCCCCTCACCATCCTGAGCAGCACTGGGCCAGTGCTGGTCTTTGAGCGCCTGCTCTTCTCTTTCAGCAGGTAGGAGAGCTACCCCCATCACCAGATCCTCACTAGTGCCATGGTCAGTCTGCTCCTGGCTGGGTGAATAGGAGAGGGTGGGAGCTATCTGTTTCGGTTGTGGGATACCTGACCTGGGTTTAGTGGGAAGCAGACAGCCCTGCTAAGCCTTCCTGTCTCTCATCCCCACAGAGATTACAGCCTGGACTACCTGCCCTTCCGCCTATGGGTGGGCATCTGGGTGGCTACCTTTTGCCTGGTGCTGGTGGCCACAGAGGCCAGTGTTCTGGTGCGCTACTTCACCCGCTTCACTGAGGAAGGTTTCTGTGCCCTCATCAGCCTCATCTTCATCTACGATGCTGTGGGCAAAATGCTGAACTTGACCCATACCTATCCTATCCAGAAGCCTGGGTCCTCTACCTATGGGTGCCTCTGCCAATACCCAGGCCCAGGAGGTGGGTAAGGGAAACAGGGACCTTGGTCAGGTGAAGAAGGATGTAGGGAAGGGGAGGGGTTGCACCCTTACTATCCCCCCTGGTTAAGTTCAGCAAAATGCTGCATACTTACCCAATAACTGGCAGTACTATTTCCACTCTGGTTCTGAATCAATTGAGAAGTAAGACAACAGAAGGCCCAATATCGTCTTCCTTTCTGACTACACTGATAGAGGAACATGGGTTATATCTATGGGTGAATGGGCTTCCTAATGATGAAGCCAAAATTGAATAGACTTACCCACCAGTCATGGAAGCACTGGTTTGAGACTATCTTGCCCCAGGGAAGCAGAGCTAAACACATACATCAAACAGGCAGCTTATACTCGAGTGAGGGGAGAGAAAGGGGCAGGGCCAGGTATGCCCAGCTTCATTTCCTGAAATCACCAATCAAATATATCACTGCTCTTCTGGGTGAGAGTGGCCGGCCAGGTGGAGAGAGGCTTAGAGTATTACACTTGCATATATCCCTCCACATGGAAGGCAACACCAGGACTGGGAAGAAATGGCCTCTCTACATGTTCTTCTATCAGTGCTAGGCATGAACAAGACCAGTTCTAGCCCTGGTGGAAACACACAGATTTGTATACTACTTTATTCTGTCAACATTTGCCGAGCATTTGCTGTGGCCAGGTCCAGTGCTTGGTACACGGGATGCAGATGGGTAGAGAATTTGAGAGGATGAGGGCATGAGACAATGTCCTGAGCAGTACACACTTGGTAGTGATAGAGTCAGCAGACAGATGAGTCACAATTAAGAACTCTGGTTCAGCTGGACCCATCAGATTAGAATTTTATGGGGCTGGAGAAGGTTCCCAGGGGAGGGAACATACATCTGAATTATTCTCTGCTTCCCAGGAAATGACTCTCAATGGATAAGGACAAGGCCAAAAGACAGAGATGACATCGTAAGCATGGTGAGGGACTGCTCCTGGGAGGTTCTAGGAGGGAAAGGGTGGAGACCAAGTCAGTTGGTGGTTCCTAGCTCTTCCTACCCATAGGTTAAGGAAACCTTCATAGGTGAGTGTGGCTTAGCCATTTCCTACAGCTGGGAACTTCCCATCCTGGGCCTTTGGTATCTCTGTGGGTCCCTCCTCCTTTGAAGTGGGTCTGGGAGAGCAGGACATTTACTCCATTGCCTGTAACCCCACCTCGACCCTCCTGTGTACAGGACCTAGGCCTGATCAATGCATCCTTGCTGCCGCCACCTGAGTGTACCCGGCAGGGAGGCCAGCCTCGTGGCCCTGGCTGTCATACAGTCCCAGACATTGCCTTCTTCTCCCTTCTCCTCTTCCTTACTTCTTTCTTCTTTGCTATGGCCCTCAAGTGTGTAAAGACCAGCCGCTTCTTCCCCTCTGTGGTGAGTGTCACCTTTCTTTTTGTGGGAGAGGCCTGACTCTAAGCTTTGGGTCCTATCTGTAAGTGGGAAGTGGTATGGAAAAAGAGGGATGGCAGATCTGGACCTGACTGAGTGTCCACTGTGTGCCAGGTGCGCAAAGGGCTCAGCGACTTCTCCTCAGTCCTGGCCATCCTGCTAGGCTGTGGCCTTGATGCTTTCCTGGGCCTAGCCACACCAAAGCTCATGGTGCCCAGAGAGTTCAAGGTGAGAGCCAGGGAATAGGGTTGGGGGGCCATAGGGGAAAGCAGGGCCAGCAGACCATGGGAAAGGAAAATGCATAATTCCCACACTTCTCTTCTCTAAGCTTCTTTCTTCACTCATAAACTAGAGATAGTAATAATAACGGCCTCACAGGGTTGTCGTGAGGATTCAGCGAAGTACTGCAGCAGACACGTGAGTACAGAGAATACACGATAGCTATTATTACAGGGTATGGGTTAAGAGAATGGGTTCTGATCAGCCAGCCCTGGGTTTGAGTTCCAGTTCTTCCACTTCCCAGCTATGCATCAGGCAAGTTAATGCACATTTCTAAGCCTCAATTTCTTAATCTATAAAATGGAAATAATAAAATGACAATAGTTCCTATTCCGTAGATTGTTTTGAGTTTACAGAAGATCACAATGGAAAGCACTTACCACATGCCTGGCACATACCAAGTCCTCAATAAATGTTAGCTATTATTGTTATGGGATTTCCCCACCCTTGGCATGGCCCTGCCCACCCCACTACTCCTCACTCTCTTCTTTGCACCCCTTATTGCCTACTCTGATCCAGGAAAGCTGGAACTCCCTTTCCAGGGCATGACAGTGTGTAGACAAGGCTTAGCACTGATTTCTAGACTTTGCCTGTGCATTTGGAGACCTCCTCTCCGAATTCCTCCAAGACAGGAGAGCAGGGAGGACTCCAACTGGGGCAGCAACTGGGGCCCCCTCCCCTACACATATGCTTGTAATCAGAGCTGACGCAGACACACCCAGCCCTGTCCCTGCCTCAGATCAAGGCAGGTCTGAGCCTGAGTTGCCCCACCCAGGATAGGGGAAGAGGGATCTCTAGGGAGCAGGGCTCTGTACATCAAGAAGTGTGTGCAGGCCACATCTGCCACCTCCTTCTCTTCCAGGGAGGGAGGGACCCTGAACCAAAGTCCAGAGCCCCTGGTTCCAGCCTGACCTCAGGGCTGGTCTCCTTCCATCTGCTGTCTTTTAAAGCACTGGGATGCTTTGAACCAGCTGTACACATACACCCCACTAGCATCTAGTGTCTTGGGGTGGGGGCAGGTTGTGGAAGAATGCCAACGTTGAGGTGTGTAGGTGAGATGCTCTTGGGAGACCCTCTCCAACCTGTCCATGAAATGCCCTCCACCAGCCCACACTCCCTGGGCGTGGCTGGCTGGTGTCACCTTTTGGAACCAACCCGTGGTGGTGGAGTGTGGCAGCTGCCCTGCCTGCCCTGCTGCTGTCTATCCTCATCTTCATGGACCAACAGATCACAGCGGTCATCCTCAACCGCGTGGAATACAGACTGCAGGTAAGGACTGCTGGGCAAGGCCCTAGACCAAGAGACAGAAGCTCCAGGGTAGTCTACGTTCCCCCATCCTACCTCAGAGGACAGAGGGCCAGGGCCTGGACTAGCTTCATCCTCATTGCCCCCACCACTACCTGCAGAAGGGAGCTGGCTTCCACCTGGACCTCTTCTGTGTGGCTGTGCTGATGCTACTCACATCAGTGCTTGGACTGCCTTGGTATGTCTCAGCCACTGTCATCTCCCTGGCTCACATGGACAGTCTTCGGAGAGAGAGCAGAGCCTGTGCCCCTGGGGAGCTTCCCAACTTCCTGGGTATCAGGTGAGGGCAGTATTTAGGAAGCGGAGTAAGAGGTGGGCTGCAAGGTAGGGCAATGGGGAACATGGCAGAGTTATTTGGGCAGCTTTAATTCTAAACTGGTGTCCTACAAGCACTGCAGTGGCACAATGAGTGAGTTCTGGGCTCTGAGATGGGTAAGTCAGATCTTCCCCTCTCTTCTCTCAGCCATGGGGACTGGGAGGGCCCTCAAGAGGAGCATCATCAATGCAAAGGTAGAGGCAGCCAGGGCTGAAGTGGAGGGTCAGGTGCCACCTAATAATCCTCACTCAATGTAGAAATTACAAAGGAATCCATCATAAAAACAATTTTGGAACCATTGGAAACACAGTCTAAGTATCTGAAGTATATGAAATCAACTTTATAAATTGTGAAATGTAAGTCTTTATGGCACTGTAAACATTGCTAATTTTCCATCAAAATAAAAATGAGAGGCCGGGCGCAGTGGCTCAAGCCTGTAATCCCAGCACTTTGGGAGGCCGAGACGGGCGGATCACGAGGTCAGGAGATCGAGACCATCCTGGCTAACACGGTGAAACCCCGTCTCTACTAAAAATACAAAAAACTAGCCGGGCGAGGTGGCGGGCGCCTGTAGTTCCAGCTACTCGGGAGGCTGAGACAGGAGAATGGCGGGAACCTGGGAGGCGGAGCTTGCAGTGAGCTGAGATCCGGCCACTGTACTCCAGCCTGGGCGGCAGACCGAGACTCCGTCTAAAAAAAAAAAAAAAAAAAAAAAATGAGGAGCAACTATGAACTTGAATTGATGGAGAGGTCTGGGACTCTCACCTTGAAGTGCTCTGCCCCTTCCTCTCCACCAATTTTTCACATCAAGCTAAGGGCTCATCCCTCCAGGTGACCTACTGGGGTATTCCTCTAGTTTCCTCTTGCTGCTAGGGTCTGTACTGGTGTTCAGCCAGGATCTCCAGTCTGGGTACCCCAGGGACTCCCCAAGACCTCAGCTAACTCTTCCCTCTCCCCACAGGGAGCAGAGGCTGACAGGCCTGGTGGTGTTCATCCTTACAGGAGCCTCCATCTTCCTGGCACCTGTGCTCAAGGTACCTTTGTTATACAAGCCAGGATCAGGGTCAGTGCAGTAATAATAGGAGCACAGCAAGAACTGACACTAGTTGAACACTTACAGTGTGCCAGGTGCTCTGTTAAGTATTCTCCATACATGGTCTCATTTAATCCTCACATTAACCCTGAAAGGAATATGTACCTTACAAATGAGGCAGCCGAAGGTTAAAGAGGCAAAGTAACTTGCAACAGCCCATCAAAAGAGCCAGTTTTTCAGATCTGTCTGAGAACCCAAACTCTTATCCAATGGGCTTTTTACCCAGTGGAGCAAGGTGTGGGTGTGCCACCACCATCCCCTAGGGTCTAAGTGCTACCCTTGCTCTAGCCTCCCAACAAACCTGAGACTAAGAGTATGATCAGGTAAGATCACACAAAGATCAACAAACCTGAGACTAAGAGTATGATCAGGTAAGACTAAGAGTAAGATCAGACTAAGAGTATGATCAGGCCAGGTGCAGTGGCTCATGCCTGTAATTCCAGCACTTTGGGAGGCTGAGGTGGGAGGATCACTTGAGTGCAGAAGTTTGAGACCTACTTGGGCAACATAAGGAGACCCTGTCTCTACAAAAAATAAAAAAGGTAGCTGGGCATGGTGGTGTGTGCCTGAGGTGGAAGGATCACTTGAGCCCAGGCGTTTGAGAGTGCAGTGAGTGGTGATCACTGGATGACAAGAGCAAAACTGTCTCAAAAAAAAAAAAAAAAAAAAAAAAAAGGGACCCCAGAAAAACTTTGAGGCAAAAAGCCTTCACTTCTCCTTCACCAGAGGTATATAGAATATTTGCCATATGCGAGACTGCTAGGCACGTGGGAGAAGTAGGGGTCGGTGGAATATTGAAAAGAAATATGGAACTAAGCCCCTACCAGCAACACACACACGAGCAAAAATTAAGTAACAAGTAATAGCAGAAAGGCTCAACAAGCCAAGACAGCAAAGCAGTCAAGGAGGGTGTGGAGAATGTCAGACAAGAGTCACTGGCAGGATGACAAGAGGTTAGGGAAGGGAAAAGTCATGGAAGCTGGGTGAGAGTAGAGTACGGAAAGAGCCAGATGGACTGGATCAGCCACTTACTAACTGGGTGACTCTCATTCACAGACATTTACAGAGCATAAACGATATGCTAGGCTGGGTGTGGTGGCTCACACCTGTAATCCCAGTACTTTGGGAGGCCGAGGTGGGCGGATTGCTTGAGCTCAGGAGTTTGAGACCAGCCTGTGCAACATGGCGAAATCCCATCTCTACAAAAAACACAAAAGTTAGCTGGGCGTGGTGGTGTGCACCTGTAGTCCCAGCTACTTGGGAGGCTGAGGTGGGAGCATCACTGAGCCCAGGAGGTCTAGACTGCAATGAGCCAGGTTTGTGACACCGTACTCCAGCCTGGGCAGAGTGAGATCTTGTCTCAAAAAACAAAAGAAAACAAACAAAAAACCCCAAAAAACAGAAAACCCGAAACAAAAAACAAACAAAAACCCATATACCAAGCACTGTTCTAGGTACTGGGGATATAATGGTAGTCAAAAGAAATCATCTTCCAACCTTGCAATCTGGTGAAAGGAGAAAGGTTTTTTTTTTTTTTTTTTTTTTTTTGAGACGGAGTCTCGCTCTGTCGCCCAGGCTGGAGTGCAGTGGCACGATCTCGGCTCACTGCAAGCTCCGCCACCTCCCGGGTTCACGCCATTCTCCTGCCTCAGCCTCCCTAGAAGCTGGGACTACAGGCGCCCACCACCACGCCCGGCTAATTTTTTTGTATTTTTAGTAGAGATGGGGTTTCACCATGTTCGCCAGGATGGTCTTGATCTCCTGACCTCGTGATCCGCCCACCTCGGCCTCCTAAAGTACTGGGATTACAGGCGTGAGCCACCACGCCTGGCCGGAGAAAGATTTTTAAAAGTTAAAACAAGAGGCCAAGCATGGTGGCTCATGCCTATAATCCCAGCACTTTGGGAGGCCGAGGCGGGTGGATCACCTGAGGTCAGGAGTTCGAGACTAGCCTGGCCAACATGGCAAAACCCTGTCTCTACTAAAAATATAAAAGTTAACCGGGCGTGGTGGCAGGTGCCTATAATCCCAGCTACGTGGGAGGCTGAGGTATGAGAATCACTTGAGCCTGGTGGGTAGAGGTTGCAGTGAGCCGAGATCAAGCCACTTCACTTCAGCCTGGGTGAAAGAGCAAAACTCCATCTCAAAAAAAAAAAAAAAAGAAAAAAAATTAAAACAAGAAAATAGGATAACTTTAGATAGTGATAACTTCTATGAAAAATAGAAGAAGATAAGATGATTAAGAGTGCCAGGGGCTACTTTAGATTGGGCCTGAAGTTAAAAAGTCAATGAAGACCTTTCAGGGTGTCATGAGATGAGGCATGAGTAATAAGAATAAACTGGTCATGAGAAAGTCTGGGGGAAGAGCATTTTAGGTGGAGGGAATAGCAAAGTAAAAGGCTTTGCAAGGGGTAGGCACAAACTTGGGCATGTTGAGGGAAGGAAAAGCAGTTAGTATAGTGGGCACACAAAGAACAGAGGGAAATGTGATAGATAAGATTGGAATGGTAGGTCAAGTAATGGACAAAGTTACTTAGTTCCTCTGAAATTCAATTTCCCAATCTGTAAAATGAGGCAATAATAACATTTACTTCATCTGATTGATTTGAGGATTCAATCAGATCAGGCATGAAAAGTGTGAAAGGGGCCAGGTACGGTGGCTCAAGCCTGTAATCCCAGCACTTTGGGAGGCCAAGACGGGTGGATCACGAGGTCAGGAGATCGAGACTATCCTGGCTAATATGGTGAAACCCCGTCTCTACTAAAAAATACAAAAAACTAGCTGGGCGAGGTGGTGGGCACCTATAGTCCCAGCCACTTGGGAGGCTGAGGCAGGAGAATGGCGTAAACCCGGGAGGCGGAGCTTGCAGTGAGCTGAGATCCAGCCACTGCACTCCAACCTGGGCGACAGAGCGAGACTCCGTCTCAAAAAAAAAAAAAAAAAAAAAAAAGAAGAGTGTGAAAGGAAAGGCAAGGCCTGGGCAGACCTAGATGCTAGATGCTAGAGGGATCTAGGACATCTAGGCATCCTGGGGCATCTGGGAGGTCGGCAGAGGTAAACTTTGCTAACTCTCTGCTTCTTTCTACCAGTTCATCCCAATGCCTGTGCTCTATGGCATCTTCCTGTATATGGGGGTGGCAGCACTTAGCAGCATTCAGGTGAGCCCATTAAAATCACCTAACAAAAGAAAAAAAAAGAATAAAAAGAGAAACATAAAAGAACAAAATTGCCTAGTAACCCCACTCCTCTTTTCTTTTCTGCTGGCATCTCCTGTCTACACTTGAGAATTCCCCTCTTACTCTCTTTTTCCTGTCTCTCCTGGGCTCAGGGGCTCAGCTGCCATGCTTCCCGCCTGCTCCCAGTGCTGGGCTATGATAGCTATCAGTAACACCCTCCTGTCAGGCTACCTGAGTGCCCTGCTTTTCTCTTCCTCTCGTTCCCCTAGTTCACTAAGAGAGTGAAGCTGTTGTTGATGCCAGCAAAACACCAGCCAGACCTGCTACTCTTGAGGCATGTGCCTCTGACCAGGGTCCATCTCTTCACAGCCATCCAGCTTGTCTGTCTGGGGCTACTTTGGATAATCAAGTCTACCCCTGCAGCCATCATCTTCCCCCTCATGGTAACCTGAGGCAGGGTTGGGCTGTGTCCTGGAGGGTCTTGGGAGACTCTGAGCCTGGAAGGGTGGCCAAGGCCTCCCTGAGAGGAAGAATCTCCCCTCTCACTCGCTGTGGCTCTCCCTGGTTGGGAATCCTAAGACAAAGAAAAAGATGGCAGAGTGATACCTATGTATGGGCTAGTCCTGGGATACCTGATTCACCTCTTTTCCCAACCTCTTTGGAGTGATCAGCCACAGGTAAGAACATAAAACCCAGAAGAAATCTAAGGTCTTGGTAGAGGAAATGGTGACACTTTTATTACTCAGTGAGGTGATAACATAGGTGGCTTCTGGCCTCGTTCTTATTGAGGAAGTTAAGAGTCATAGGCTTCGCAGTAGAACCAATCTGCTTACTATATCCCAGATGTGTGACCTCTGGGAAGTAACTAATCACTCGGGGTCTCAGTTTCCTTCTCTGTATGATGGGAATAATTATTCTACCTCATAGGAATGTGCTAGCATTCAGTGAAACTGATATACAATGCCTAGCACATAGGAAGTGCTCAAGAAGTGTTATTATTAATGTTCCTACTGATGTTGCTGACAGGCCTGGGCCATGTTTCTATTCCTGCAGTTGTTGGGCCTTGTGGGGGTCCGAAAGGCCCTGGAGAGGGTCTTCTCACCACAGGAACTCCTCTGGCTGGATGAGCTGATGCCAGAGGAGGAGAGAAGCATCCCTGAGAAGGGGCTGGAGCCAGAACACTCATTCAGTAGAAGTGACAGTGAAGATGTGAGCTCCAGGCTGGGTCCTCTCAGGAGAATGTGTCGGGGTTTGGGAGAGCGTTCTTGTCCAGGAGCTGTCCCTAAATAATATCTCCATTAAGCCTGCAGATCTGATCAACAGTCACTTCCCTTAGCTGTGTATGGACACATAGGCAGACCGAAGGGGTGAAGGAAATCTTTCTTCATAGGACAGGGGCCCTTGATGTGGGTGGAAAGGGCTGAGGCTTCAGCTCAAGTGGGCTGTCTTTCTCAACTCTGATCTTTGTTTTGTCTCACTGTGGGTTTATATCCAGTCAGTGGGTCCCTTCCTCTATGTTGTCTCTCACTATCTGTCTTTTTTTTTTTTTTTCCACTATCTTTCTATCTATTCTCAATCCATCTTGGGATCTGTCTTCCACAGTCAGAGCTGATGTATCAGCCAAAGGCTCCAGAAATCAACATTTCTGTGAATTAGCTGGAGTAGGAGTCTGGGAGTGGAGACCCCAGGAAACAGCATGAGGTGAGGATGTGAGGGAAGTGCTCCTGATGTTGAGGATGGGAGGTGTGGGCTTAGAACTTGGAACTCTCCAGTGTGTTGACCAGCCCTGTTTTCTCCTTACTCCAGTCCCTTAGGAATCCTAGACTGGGGGTGCTGGGGTTTAGAAGGGTCTCTTCCTAGTGAAGAATAACTGGCAAGGGTGCCTAGGCTTGGCTCCCTGTGGTTCTGAAGTTTGGTCAGTAGAGAGAGTTCAAACTCACACCAAATGAGAAGTGGAGATGGATGTTGTGAGGGGCGGTGCCCTGGCAAAAGAATGGGAAGGAGTGGGAAGGAGAGGAAGGGAGGAGAAAGCCTGGTGTTCCTTTCCCTTGCTTGGAAGGCTCCTCTCTTAGGCTGCTGAGAACCACACTCTAGACTTGTGGAGGAAATCTCTATCACTTATCCTCTCTGCCATTCCTTTATTTTATTCATCCATATATCAAGCATTTTCTGAGTACCTGTCATGTAGTATCTTGGTGGTAGAGATGGTAAGACAGTCATGGTCCCTGACCTCAGGAAACTTAAATCCCAGTGGGAAAGTAGACAAATAAACAGACAACTGTTAGAGTGGGATAGTGCTGATAAGGGAAGAACAGGGCATGGCATGGGAGCAGGGCTTCTAACCTCTTCTTAGAGAACAGTAAGGTGGAGTGGTGAGAGTTGGTGAAGGTGGGGTGGTGGTGGTTGGGTGGTGGGTGTTCCATTTCTACGAGGAAATGGTCCATAATTTGAAATCCAAATAATGAATAGAAGCTAGCCAGGCAGCTGGGCACAGCAGCACACAATTGTAGTCCCAGCTACTAGGGAGGCTGAGTCAAGAGTCCAGGACTTCAAGCTGTAGTGTGCAATAATCATGACTGTGAATAGCCACTGCACTCCAGCCTGGGCAACATAGTGAGATCCTGTCTCCAAAAAAAAAACGTGTTTTTTTTTTTTTTTTTTTTTGTTTTTGAGGCAGAGTCTCCCTCTGTCGCCCAGGCTGGAGTGCAGTGACCGGATCTCAGCTCACTGTAAGCTCCGCCTCCCGGGTTCACGCCATTCTCCTGCCTCAGCCTCCCGAGTAGCTGGGACTACAGGCGCCCGCCACCTCGCCCGGCTAATTTTTTGTATTTTTTAGTAGAGACGGGGTTTCACCATGTTAGCCAGGATGGTCTCGATCTCCTAACCTCGTGATCCGCCCGTCTCGGCCTCCCAAAGTGCTGGGATTACAGGCTTGAGCCACCGCGCCCGGCCCAAAAAAAATGTTTTAAAAGGAGCAAGCCAGGACTAGGTGGAAGGAAAATATTCTAAGCAAGGCCACAGCATATACAAAAGCCTGGAACTGGTTGCCCTTAAAAAGCTGAACTCTCTTTTGGGGCCGGGAACAGTGGTTCACGCCTGTAATCCCAGCACTTTGGGAGGCAGAGGTGGGTAGATCACCTGAGTTCAGGAGTTTGAGACCAGCCTGGCCAACATAGTGAAACTCTGTCTTTACTAAAAATACTAAAATTAGCTGGGTGTGGTGGTGCATGCCTGTAAGAGGCTGAGGCAGGAGAATCGCTTGAACCCAGGAGGTGGAGTTTCAGAGGTTGCAGTGAGCCAAGATTGTGCCACTGCACTCCAGCCTGGGTGACAGAGTGAGACTCCGTCTCAAAAAAAAAAAAAAAAAAAAAAAAAATCAAAAACAAAAATCTCTCTTTTGGGCCATAGAACACCCTCATCTTCATGCTTCTCCAAGCCCAAGAGCCTAAGAGCCAGGCCGGGTGCGGTGGCTCACGCCTGTAATTCCAGCACTTTGGGAGGCCGAGGCAGATGAATCAGTTGAGGTCAGGAGTTTGAGATCAGCCTGGCCAACATGGTGAAACCCTGTCTCTACTAAAAATACAAAAATTAGGTGGGCGTGGTGGCGGACACCTGTAATCTCAGCTACTGGAGACAAGGATTGCCTGAACCCGGGAGGCAGAGGTTGCAGTGAGTCGAGATTGCACCATTGCACTCAGGCCTGGGCAACATGAGCAAAACTCCATCTCAAACAAAAAGAAGCACCTAAGAGCCTCTGACACTTGCAATGGGAAATTTGGGGGACTGGAGAGAGAAAGGGGAATTCACTGTCTGGCCCTGAACAAGATCTCCTGGGCGCTCCTTATCTCTTATCATTCTTTTTGCTCTGTTCTTTGCAGTAGTATGTCCCCTGAGCACTTGCTTTGGCCTCACCATGTCTTCTCTTAGTTCACAGGTGCTTATTCAGGAAGTCAGGACACTTTTGGCCTTTGGCTTAACTTCCAGATGCTCAGTCGGCTTGGGGAAGGACTGAAGGGCAGCTGCCAAGACCTCAGTTACCTCCTGACCTGAGGGTGGAGAGTGGCAGGAAGCAAGCATGTTTGCTGTGCATTTAGGAAAGGCTGGTGAGCCAGAGGGACGGATCAGGCCCCATTCACTCTCTACTCATTAAAAGGTCCTGAGCCACGAAGTGCTTCACATTTTGAACTTTCTGTCCTCCCAGATTCTCTTTTACAGAATCTAAGGGCCATCAGGGAACTCTTTTCAGCTTGCAAAAAGAAAAAACCAGTCTTTCCAGAATAAGTATTTGTCAGTTTGAAATAGCTTTTTACACATATAAAAATAATTTTTGGCTGGGTGTGGTGGCACATGCCTGTAGTCCTAGCACTTTGGGAGGCTGAGGTGGGAGGATTGCTTGAGCCCAGGAGTTCCAGAGCAGCTTGAACAACAGAGTGAAACCTTATTTCCACACACACACAAAACAAAAAAAATTAGCTAGGTGTGGTGGTGCATGCCTTTGGTCCCAGCTACTCAGGAAGTTGAGGCAGGAGGATCGATCACTTGAGCCTGGAGGATCACTTGAGCCCAGGAGGTCGAGGCTGCAGTGAGCCATGATCATGCCACTGCACTCCAGACTTGGGAACAGAGCAAGAACCTGTCTCAAATTAAAAAAAAAAAAAAGAAGAAGAAACAAGAAAAGCCGGGCGCAGTGGCTCACTCCCGGATCACGAGATCAGGAGTTCAAGACCAGCCTGACCAACACGGTAACACCCCATCTCTACTAAAAATACAAAAATTAACCAGGTGTGGTGGCACGCACCTGTAATCTCAGCTACTGAGGAAGCTGAGGCAGAAGAATCACTTGAACCAGGGAGGCATAGGTTGCAGTGAGCCAAGATTGCACCACTTTATTCCAGCCTGGGCAACAGAGTGAGACTCTATCTCAAAAAAAAAAAAAAAAGCAAGAAAAAAAAAATCTTGGGCTGGGCATGGTGGCTCACACCTGTAATCCCAGCACTTTGGGAGGCCAAGGTGGGTGGATCACTTGAGGTCAGGAGTTTCAGACCAGCCTGGCCAACATGGCAAAACCTCGTCTCTACTAAAAATATAAAAATTAGCCTGGCATGGTGGCACATACCTGTGATCCCAGCTACTTGGGAGGCTGAGGCAGGAGAATAGCTTGAACCGGGAGACAGAGGTTGCAGTGAGCCAAGATCACGCCACTGCACACTCTAGCCTGGGCAACAGAACAAGACTGTCTCAAAAACAAACAAACAAACAAACAAAAATCATGTTGATGCATGTAGCTGTAGTTTGTTTTCATTGCTAGGTAGCACTCCAGTGTATAACTCTACCATAATTCAATTATCCAGTTTTCTATTGACTCAAAGAATTCACTGGTGAAGCCATTGGGGCCTAGAGGTTGCTTTGTGGAAAGTTTAAGTTGATTCAAATTTTTAAATTTTCAGGCTCTTTATTTCTTCTTCAGCCATCTTTGGTGAATTGTATTTTTCTGGGAATCTATTGATTTTATCTAATTTTTCATATTTATTGACATAAAGTTATTATAACTCTTACCTGCTTAATATCTGTAGCATATTTAGTTATGGTTTTCTTACTTCTCTCTGTTTTTGATTCTTGGTTACTCTTGCAAGTTAGGCTATTTTATTTTTAAAATTTTTATTATTTATTAATTAATTTATTTTTGAGACGGAGTCTCACTCTGTCGCTCAGGCTGGAGTGCAGTGATGCTATCACGGCTCACTGCAAGCTCTGTCTCCCAGGTTCACACCATTCTCCTCCCTCAGCCTCCCAAGTAGCTGGGACTACAGGCGCCCACCACCACGCCTGGCTAATTTTTGTATTTTTTAGTAGAGACAAGGTTTCACTATGTTGGCCAGGCTGGTCTTGAACTCCTGACCTCATGATCCACCTGCCTTGGCCTCCCAAAGTGCTGGGATTACAGGCGTGAGCCACTGCGCCCGGCAAGGCTATTTTATTAGTCTTTTTAAATAACTAACTTTTGGCTTTGTTGATCTTCTCTACTGAATGTTTCTCTACTTCATTAATTTCTGCTCTTTATTTTCTTCTTTCTGTTTTCTTTATGTTTATTGCTGTTTTTCTAATTTCTCTTTTTTTTTTTTGAGACGGAGTCTTGCTCAGTCGCCCAGGCTGGAGTGCAGTGGTACGATCTCGGCTCACTGCAAGCTCCGCCTCCCGGGTTCACGCCATTCTCCTGCCTCAGCCTCCCAAGTAGCTGGGACTACAGGCGCCCGCCACTACGCCCGGCTTTTTTTTTTTTTTTTTTTGTATTTTTAGTAGAGACGGGGTTTCACGTTGTTAGCCAGGATGGTCTTGATCTCCTGACCTCGTGATCCGCCCATCTCGGCCTCCCAAAGTGCTGGGATTACAGGCGTGAGCCACCGCACCTGGCCTGTTTTTCTAATTTCTTATTTCCTTATTTTCAGCCTTATTTGTTTCCTAATGTAAACACTACTGTTATGAATTTCCTCTTAAGTACTACTTGTATCTTACAGGTTTTGATATATAATATTCTCATTACCATTTATTTATTCTAAGAATTTTCTAATTTCTACTGATTTCTCCTCCGATTCACAAGTTGTTGAAAAGTGCATTTAAAAATTTTCCAAACTTTTTTTTCCTTTATCTTTTTGTAACTGATTTCTAACTTAATTTCATTTAGATATGAGGAGGCCGGGCACGGTGGCTTACGCCTGTAATCCCAGCACTTTGAGAGGTCGAGGCAGGCAGATCACGAGGTCAGGAGATCGAGACTATCCTGGCTACTAAAAATACAAAAACTTAGCTGGGCGTGGTGATGGGCGCCTGTAGTCCTAGCTACTCGGAAGGCTGAGGCAGGAGAATGGTGTGAACCCAGTAGGCAGAGCTTGCAGTGAGCAGAGATCACGCCACTGCACTCCAGCCTGGGGGACAGAGCAAGAGTCCGTCTCAAAAACAAAAAAAACCAAAAAAACCAAAAACAAAAAAAACTATCGGTTAGATACTTATGAGGCTAACTTTATGGCCTGGAATGTTATTAATTTTTGTAAATGTTCCATGTATACTTGAAAATAATGCTTATTCTCCAATTTTCTCTTTTCTTTTGAGATGAAGTCTCACTCTTGTCCCCCGGGCTGGAGTGCAATGGAGCGATCTCGGCTCACTGCAACCTCCACCTCCTGGGTTCAAGCGATTCTCCTGCCTCAGCCTCTGGAGTAGCTGAGATTACAGGTGCCTGCCATCATGCCCGGCTAATTTTTGTATTTTTACTAGAGACAGGATTTCACCATGTTGGCCAGGCTGATCTCGAACTCCTGACCTGAGGTAATCTGCCTGCCTTGGCCTCCCAAAGTGCTGGAATTATAGGTGTGAGCCACCGCGCCTGGCCCTCCAATTTTCTATTTCTATTAGGCCAGCCTACCAATTGTGCTGTTCAAGATGTTCTATATATGGCATGGCTTTCTTTGGCCTGTTTGAACTAGTAAGTACTGGGGAAGGTATTTTAATAAACCTATTATGATAATGAATTTGTCACTATCTCTTTGAAGAATTGTCAATTTTTGTTTTTATGTATTTTTAAATGCTGTGTTTTGAGTGCTTTCTAGTTTAGAATCGTTATATCTTCCTGGTTAATTGATCCTTTTATTATTTTGTAAAGATTTTATTTTGTAGTGATTAGTAATTCTTTCTGCTTAAAAATTATTTTGTCTGCTAGAAATATAGTTAAATTAGCTTTCTTGTGATTAGAATTGTCCTATATTATGTATTTACGTTCTTTGAATTTTAGTCTTTTTGTGTTCTTATATTTTACTTGTATCTGTTGTAATCATGATGTGGTCAGATTTAGTTTTTTTTTGTATTTATTTTTATTTTATATAAAAATTTCTTTAGAGGCAAGGTCTCACTCTGTCACCCAGGCTGGAGCACAGTGGCACGATCTTGGGCTCACTGCAACCTCAACCTCCTGAGCTGAAGAGATCTCCCTGCCTCAGCCTCCTGAGTAGCTTGGACTACAAGCACACACCTCCATGCCCTGCTTATTTATTTATTTATTTATTTATTTATTTATTTATTTGAGACAGAGTCTCACTCTGTCACCCAAGCTGGCGTGGAGTGCAGTGGCGCGTTCTTGGCTCACTGCAATCTCCAACTCCTGGGTTCAAGTGATTTTCCCGCCTCAGCCTCCTGAGTAGCTGGGATTACAGGTGCGTACCACCATGCCCATCTAATTTTTTTGTATTTTAGTAGAGATGGGGTTTCACCATGTTGCCCAGGGTGGTTTCAAACTCCTGAGCTCAGGTAATCCGGCCGCCTCGGCCTCCCACAGTGCTGAGATTACAAGTGTAAGCTATCGTGCCTGGCCACTCTGCTTATTTATTTTTTCTTAATTTTTGTAGAGACAGGGTCTCACTATGTTGAGACCAATTTGAGTCTGGTCTCAAACTCCTGACCTCAAGTGATCCTCCTGCCTTGGCCTCCCAAAGTGCTGAGATTATAGGTGTGAACCACTGCAATGGCCCATGATTTTTTTAAATTAATCAATTAATTTGAGATAAAGTTTTGCTCTTGTTGTCCAGGCTGGAGTGCAATGGCGCAATCTCAGCTCACTGTAACCTCCGCCTCCTGGGTTCAAGTGATTCTCCTGCTTCAGCCTCCCAAGTAGCTGGTATTACAGGCATGCACCACCATGCCAAGCTAATTTGTCTTTTTTTTTTTTTTTTTTTTTTTTTTGAGATAGGGTCTCACCTGTCACACAGCCTGAAGTGCAGTAGCACAAATATGGCTCACTGCAGCCTCAAACTCCTCAGCTCAAGTGATCCTCCCACCTCAGCCTCCTGAGTAACTGGGAGCACAGGTGCATGCCACCATGCTTGACTACTTTTTAAAAATTTTTGTAGAGATGGGGTCTCACTATGTTGCCCAGGTTGGTCACAAACTCCTGGGCTCAAGCAATCCTCCTGCCTTGGCCTATAAAAGTGCTGGGATTACAGGCACCAGCCACCATGCCTGGCCAGGTTTTTTGTTTTTAAATCCAATTTGACAATCCATCTTTTAGCTAGAAAATTTAGTAAATTTACATTTAGAGTAATTACTAATATATTTGATTTTGTTTTATTTGCTTTTTTATTTCCTATTTTTCTGTTCCTCTTTTCTCCTTTTCTTACCTTA